AACAAAGTATATTGTTAACAATGACCCCTAAGGGTTAAAATCCTGTAGGGAAAAAAACAACTCACGCTAGATGTACCTATATAGTCAAAAAGAAGTCCTGTTCAAAAGTTTTCAGGATCCTTCTCCTAATACTATGCAAAAACCAACCCTCTGAAGAGCTGCGGGCGAAACGCGCGCGTCAGGGGTTAGGGGGCTCTTAGACGAGCATTACACTAGCTCGAGCCCAGACCAGAACGTATTAATCATTTATTTTGGCATTATCTGAGGGATCCCTGAGCCCACTCCGATCTCAACATTTAGGGGTTTTTTTTATGTGGACCGGACATCTTATTTATTTATCTTGCTTTTTGTTGTAGTAGGAGTTTTTTCTTTCTTAGTGCAGATATATATACTTTTTCAAGCACTGTAAATGGTAGAAACATATAATAGTGCTAAATATAGACTTTCAGTTAGCACTATTTATATATATTTATTTCTTCTGAGTTTGTTTTGATGCACAGGACCAGTGAATACTATACACTGTTAAATGTAACTAAAGGTCTATCCTTTTTTTGTTTCTGGCAAGTTTTTTGTTACATTTATTTTCGATACAGGCATTCCTGTGCTACCTCTATATAACTCTTTGTGATATAATTATTGTCATATACAGTTATTTTGTATCTTTGGGACACAACTCGCCCTGTATACTTTATTTCATTGTAAAAACCGTTGGTTTTTGCATAGTATTAGGAGAAGGATCCTGAAAACTTTTGAACAGGACTTCTTTTTGACTATATAGGTACATCTAGCGTGAGTTGTTTTTTTCCCTACAGGATTTTAACCCTTAGGGGTCATTGTTAACAATATACTTTGTTCTATTTGCTTTCTCCAAATTTATAGCATATACTATTTTTAACTATACTATTAAAAGCTATATTTTAATTTAGGGGCACTCCTTGTCTCCCTCTTCCTGTTTTCACTACTGTGCTAGTCTCTAAAGGGTTAACCCCTAATTGAGTGCATCCCCTTGCTTACAGTTTCTTTTCTAATTAGTGACCCTATGCTGACCAATGAGCGGCGTGCAGTTCTTAAAGTGAGCACTGCACTCAGCTATTTAAATAGGGATTTAATTCCTCTGATGCTACAACTTGGCATGAGCAGGGTTAAATCCCTGCTCACACCATGGAGATCCAGATATCTGGGTCTCCCCTCTGTCAACTGGTGCCCAATTTAGTGGTATACAGCCCTTTAAATCAATTTAGAAAACTGCAGCTGAGCAATTGCAGTAAGCCCCAGTGATTCTCTGGATACAGATGGACTGCCGTAGACCCTTAGGGTCTGAACAGACCCTGACAATGTCAACCTACATGCCCTCAAACTGTTTTGATTGGTGCTTGGCTTTGCCAGTATCCAAGCACTGCACAGTGTAATAACATAGCATTCTTTTCAGCATGACAGATATCTCCCTGTCATGCTAAAAACAACAAGTAGATGGCAGCAACATACCACTCTGCTGTTTTAGTTTAGAATTGCCTCTGCTGGTATCAGTACTGATATTAGCAGAAGGAAATCCTTGGAATTAAGATTAGATTAAGGATTTAGGATTAGGATTGGAATAGTATTAGTTAGGAATTAGATAATTCATTTATTTATTATTTATTTATTACTGGGATGTATAAATGTTTAGGATAAGATTTTGAATTAGGTCTAGCATTTGGTATAATAAAACAAGAGCTAATATAACAATGACAGGACACTCAACTGGGTGGGGGTGGGTTGGGGGTGAATGTAGCCCCTGGGTATGTAAACCAACCAAACTAAAGAAAAGAAGAGCTGAGAGTGTTCCTAATGGAGTTAAAGGTAGCCCAGTATTTACTAATTTAATACAACTTAACTTTTAATACAAATAGCTTAAAAAAGACATGTTAAAACGACACACATAGTATTGATAGTAGATAAGATACGGCCTCAGATGTAGGGAAAACCTACACTGCTGTCATAGAGAAGGTTTCCTAGGTAATAGGGGGCATGAACCCAATTAACATCAACACTTGAAAAATAAAAAAAAGTGAGGTTAGGTCTCCAAATAAAAATTAGATGGGACCCACCTCACTGGAATTACCTCTATTGATAAAATATCATAAATGGTAATAGACTTTATTGAAAACAAAATACACATAACAAACAAATCCAAGTAAAAAAGGTGTAAACACAATCCACAGTGAATAAGACAAAAAAACACAGCAATACACCTTTAAAAACCTGGGATAGGAATACTCATATACATGTGTATATCTGACGATCAGTATCTGTAGTATATACTATTGGATTAAACCAGTGTGTGTAGACAGATCTCTCATATATATATATTTAAAGTCAGGCTCAAAATATAGAAGGAGCATTCATCCCATGCTCTGTCTCAGGTATAGGTGACAAAGTGACTTATAATAATTAGATGCTGGACATGCTATGTCCAAGTGGTCTATACAAATGACGAATCTTGGCTGCATGCAGTAAAGTGGTATAAAAAGACCTTGTTAGCAGAGAAGGATAACTGATATGAATAGTCCTATTGGTTAGGATAGTAGCAATGTCTTAAAGGATACATTGTAACGAGTATAAAAGAAACTTAGATACCAAAGGAAAAATAAACTTAAATAAACGGCTGGATAGAATGACAGTGTTGAAACAGTTTCTAACTTGTACACAGTGATACTAAGCTCTCAGCCCCCTCATAGTAGCCTAAACAGCTGCCTGCTGTCAGGGTGGCTGTCCGGTGACAGGGACCCAGACACTGTCTGGGTGGCGGTCAGACGACCGGGACCCAGTATGCCTGATGTTGAAGTAGGGGTCACAGTGTGGAAGTGGATTAGCAGGGTCTGGTGCATGGTAACCGCATGCCCCCTGGTGTTGAGCACCAGCATTTGTGCGGCCACATACCAAGACCCTGATGCAGCTTCAGCGGATTCCAGGAATTAGGAGCTTGGAATTAAGCAGACCTCCCAGGAGCTGAATAGGGAGGCTCTGCAGCAGGAATGTATCCAGTACAGAAACAAGGCAAGACTAGAACAGACACCAAACATTAAAACAAGACAAAACTAGTAGAACCCAGAATCAGAGAAGGATATGAAGCTAAACCCAGAACATGCACACAATACATAAGGGAAACATTAACAGAACAGTGACAGGACAGGACTGTACATAGACTGGGAATACCATATAAAACAAGACAAGATATAATAGGCAAAACAAGAGGAGACATAACTAAGTACTATATGTGAAAAACTATGGGGATTTAGTTACATTGTATGATTATACATTGCATAAGCCTGCCACAACGCCAATGTACCCCATATTTGGCAGGTCCTACTCTGCCTAATGTCTGCTAAATGAACCATAATAAAGCACATACAGCACATACCTGCAAGAAAAGGCAGATAACTTGAGCAACTGCCCACAGGGACTAACTGAAACAAAAGGAATCATGGAAAAGGAACGGGTGTGGCAACATAAAACAAACATTTAAAGGAATCCAAGAGACTGGGAATTCCAGGAACGGAGTTCAGGAATGAACCCAGAAAACCGAGCATAAAGAAAACCAGACATCGAATAGAAGAATTGTAAAAAGAGTACTGGATACCAAAAGCCATTGCCAGAATGATCCACAGCTAGGAACAGGATGTGACACCTGCAGAGTGCTAATTAACAATTATAGACACAAACAAGCTTCCCCTGCTGCTTCAAGGCAGCCCATAACCACTATCCAGCTAACACTGCTACTTCAAGGCAGCCTACCTAATAAGACCCAAAGTACTGACTTGAACTTAGCTATAAGACACTAAAGAGTTATGGCAAACAAAGAAAGTCTACCTCAGGATAAAGTAAAAAAAACATAACAGTGCATCGGCATAGAGCGTGACGCGTTTTGGCAAGAATGTCCGCCTTTCTCAAGAGCTGGCAGCCATCTGAACCGTGTCTGTTATAAAGGAGAACAGGGAAGTGAAACTCCTCTCTCACTAGGAAACCAACCAATAGCGTGAACAGGGGAGTAAACTGTGGTTGGTTCAAACCTCTCCACCCATTGTAACCGCAGCTGGTTCCCTAATTTACCACTATAATGTCTTAAAGCATAGAACTTAGTAGGGCTAACCATACAGATATCTTGGCCATAATTTTATATAGTTAGTGTAAGAGATCCTCTATGTGGCGGAACAGACCTCACCACGAGTTCTTGGAGGGGGCTGCTTGCCCGCCTCCTACCTTCTGACTATGGCCCTGGGATATATGGCATTTGAAAACACTATTTGTGCCCTGTGACAAAACTGGAGATTGTGCACAAATATGACTACTGTCCATATTTTTTATGATTCCCTTCGTTTGTTGACAAACTGTGGAGTTACTGGGTGGCCACCATTTCATGTATCAGAGGCACATGGTAAGAACAATGGATTTAGCACATGGTGAGAACAATGGATGGCGGCCATTTTAACACACAGACACTGTTTGGACTTTTCTACACGGTGCCATCTCGCCGGTATTTGGTACACAAAGACATCGTGCAGTAGTTTTAAACTATACAACAGGGGACACATTATACAGTAATTATTTTTCATATAGCCTGTATAAGTTCTGCTTGACCTCAAAACGAAATGTCGTCTCGTTATTGGGGGAATTGGATTGTATGCTGATTGCCAGGAGTGTATGCTTTTCCTGTTCAGCTGCTTACAGCATTCATATGTTTGAGAACATTCATATGCTTCTCCGATTCGGTGGTTATGGTGTCTGCTGCAGTGCTTGGAGTCCTCAGGAAGCGCTAGGAGCATCCTTCAACTGAGGTACCCAGTCGGGGTGCCAGGTGATCCGTTACACTCTATTTAACATATATAAATAATTGAGAATACAATACAAAATAAGGATTGTCTTGGAAGCAATAGTTTTGTCTTTTAGATATTTATTATATAAAAATATAAATATAGACATATAAAATCCATTATAGCAGAGTTGATAAGATTAAATTAAATGCTTGCAAATATCATTAATAGGTTAACATACCCTTCTGAACATGTCATCATGTCAGCCTCTCTGTCATTTTAAGATGGAGCAGCGTCTGTCTCCAAGTCTCTCCTCTGTTTTTTAACATTTAAAAGTACACCTATTTATACCTTAGGTGTCTTCATTTTAGGGTCACCGTAGTTCATATTTGAAAAAGTAACACTTCTTTTACTTTATTCATTTTAGGACCTCCCTTAATTTGGCAAACATACAAGGCCATAACTAAAGGCTGCATACGTCATGGAAATTTTCCTGACTTAGTTCAAGATGGCAATCTTAAAGTCTGAATAGCTTATCTGTTGTTTATACTAAGACGTAAGTGTACAGGGAGATTCCTGAATTTGGGGAAGTTCCATTAACTTGGGGTTATCACAGTATATTGTGTACTGAAAGAGGAATAGTATAGCCTTAGAAACATAGAAACATAGAATGTGATGGCAGATAAGAACCATTCGGCCCATCTAGTCTGCCCAATTTTCTAAATACTTTCATTAGTCCCTAGCCTTATCTTATAGTTCGGATAGCCTTATGCCTATCCCACGCATGCTTAAACTCCTTTACTGTGTTAACCTCTACCACTTCAGCTGGAAGGCTATTCCATGCATCCACTACCCTCTCAGTAAAGTAATACTTCCTGATATTATTTTTAAACCTTGTCCCTCTAATTTAAGACTATGTCCTCTTGTTGTGGTAGTTTTTCTTCTTTTAAATATAGTCTCCTCCTTTACTGTGTTGATTCCCTTTATATATTTAAATGTTTCTATCATATCCCCCCTGTCTCGTCGTTCTTCCAAGCTATACATGTTAAGATCATTTAACCTTTCCTGGTAAGTTTTACCCCACAATCTATGAACCAGTTTAGTAGCCCTTCTCTGAACCCTCTCTAAGGTATCAATATTATTCTGAAGATACGGTCTCCAGTACTGTGTACAATACTCCAAGTGAGGTCTCACCAGTGTTCTGTACAATGGCATGAGCACTTCCCTCTTTCTACTGCTAATACCTCTCTCCCTATACAACCAAGCATTCTGCTAGCATTTCCTGCTGCTCTATTACATTGTCTGCCTACCTTTAAGTCATCAGAAATAATCACCCCTAAATCCCTTTCCTCATATGTTGAGGTTAGGACTCTATCAAATATTCTGTACTCTGCCCTTGGGTTTTACGTCCAAGATGCATTATCTTGCACTTATCCACATTAAATGTCAGTTGCCACAATTCTGACCATTTTTCTAGTTTACCTAAATCATTTGCCATTTGGCTTATCCCTCCTGGAACACCAACCCTGTTACATATCTTAGTATCATCAGCAAAAAGACAAACCTTACCATCAAGACCTTCTGCAATATCACTAATAAAAATATTAAAGAGAATGGGTCCCAGTACAGATCCCTGAGGTACCCCACTGGCGACAAGTCCAAGCTTTGAATATATTCCATTAACTACAACCCTCTGTTGCCTGTCACCCAGCCACTGCCTTACCCATTCAACAATATTGGAATCCAAACTTAAAGATTGCAGTTTATTGATAAGCCTTCTATGTGCAACAGTGTCAAACGCCTTACTGAAATCTAGGTAAGCAATGTCTACTGCACCACCCTGATCTATAATTTTAGTTACCCAATCAAAAAAATCATTAAGATTAGTTTGGCATGATCTCCCTGAAGTAAACCCATGTTGTCTCTGATCTTGAAATCCATGTGTTTTTAGATGTTCAACAATCCTATCCTTTAACATGGTTTCCATCACTTTCCCCACTACTGAAGTAAGGCTTACTGGCCTATAGTTGCCCGACTCCTCCCTATTACCTTTCTTGTAAATGGGCACAACATTCGCTAACTTCCAATCTTCTGGGACTACTCCTGTTAACAATGATTGGTTAAATAAATTTGTTAATGGTTTTGCTAGTACACCACTAAGCTCTTTTAATAGCTTTGGGTGTATTCCATCAGGTCCCATTGACTTGTCTTTACTTTTGACAGTTGAAATAGAACCTCTTCCTCTGTAAACTCACGTGTAATAAATGACTCATTTATCCTTTTTCTCAACTGAGGTCCTTTTCCTTCATTTTCATCTGTAAATACAGAACAAAAATATTCATTGATGCAGTCAGATAGACCTTTATCCTTTTCTACATACCTTCCTTCTTTTGTTTTTAAATCTAACTAATCCTTGTTTTACTTTTCTTTTCTCATTTATGTATCTAAAAAATGTTTTGTCCCCCTTTTTTACTGACTGTGCTATTTTCTCATCTGTGTGTGATTTTAATCTTATAGATCATTTTGTCTTCCTCACTCTGGGTTTTTTATAATTCCTAAATGCTAACTCTTTGTTTTTAACTATTTTGGCCACATCTGCAGAGTACCACAGTGGTTTTTTGAATTTTTTGCTTTTACTGACAAGCCTAATGCAATTTTCTGTTGCCTTCAATAGTGCAACTTTTAAATAATCCCATTTCTCTTGGACTCCATTTAAATTGCTCCAGTCTGATAATGACTCCTCTACCCATATTCTAATTTTAGAAAAGCCTGTTTTTCTAAAGTCTAAGACTTTTGTTTTTGTGTGGTGTGACTCAGTCACTGTTCTTATATTAAACCACACTGACTGATGATCACTGGATCCTAAACTTTCACCTACAGTTATATCTGATACCAAATCCCCATTTGTTAACACTAAATCTAGTATGGCCTCTTTATGAGTTGGCTCTTCAACAACTTGTTTTAGAGACAATCCCAGTAGTGAGTTTAGAATATGTGTGCTCCTGGCACAAGTAGCTAATTTTGTTTTCCAATTTACATCAGGAAGATTAAAGTCAGCCATGATGATAACTTCCCCCTTCATTGTCATTTTAGCTATTTCCTCAACTAGTAGATTATCTAACTCTTCAATTTGTCCTGGGGGCCTATAAATCACACCTACACGAGTTACTGTGTGATTACCAAATTCTAACATAACCCAAACGGACTCTATGTTTGTCTCACTAACCTTTATTAGGCTAGATTTTATGCTATCCTTCACATATAGGGCCACCCCTCCCCCTTTCTTGTCTTCCCTATCATATATATGTCCCAGTCATTTTTCTCATTATACCATGTCTCAGTAACAGCGACTAAATCTACACTATCAGTTGCCATTATTGCCACAAGTTCATGGATCTTTTTCCCTAAATTGCGAGCATTTGTAGACATGACTCTAAGCTTATCATTTTTTAACATACTTGCTACAGGCACCTTCTGTCCTTGTTTTGGGGGGACAATTGGATTGATGTTTTATCACCCTTTTGCCCCCCCTCCTAGTTTAAATACATCCTAGCAAGACCTCTGAACTGCTCACTGATAACATTTGTCCCCTTTTGAGAAAGATGCAAACCATCTTTTTTGTACAGCTTATTTCCATTCCAAACAGAGCTACCATGAGAGATAAAGCCAAATCCTTGCTCCCTTGAAGCTTGTTTATGCATTATTGTTATTGTAATTCGTCTGGGACAAAATGGCGCAAACATATTATGCACTGAGGTTATTGCTTAAAGAAACATCTATGAAAAACAATATGTTCCATTTCTAACACCTTGTCAATTTGCAATATCTCTTAAAGACTAAGTACACAGTTTAAGAAATACAACATTTCATTCTAAAACTTGTAATATTTGCATTTGCCCATAACACCATCTCCACCTGGTATTAGCAATGTAAAATTAGGTGAGTTTACATTCCGATAGTTACGAAATGGTATAGAGGATGGGCGTATTTTCCATCCCTGCGTGGTAAATCCCAGCACAGACAGGCATCCCCCTTGGGATATAGAGCGGAATTAAGGTAAAGTAAACCATCAAGCAATCAAAGGATTGGGTTACTTTATGGTAAAAAGATTTTTACCGTGGGGTAGGGTAGTCCTTAAAGTACGGGATGACAAATAACGAGTTTGTCATGCCATGCCTCACATGGTTTGGACACAGTGTGCAGGCACTTTTGATCAACGGGTGAAAAGGATCTCTCATTAAATTAAGAGTATACTGTAAAGAGTGGTTTTATATTCATCCGATTTACTTCTAGTACAAAATGAAAGAAAAAGAATAAAGGGGGGTGCAAATGACATATACAATACTTCACTGTATATCTACTGTAGTGACTGGAGCATCTCCTGATTATCCTATAATAAAAACAGTAAAATCTCATACATAGTATAATACTGTTATACAAAGTAGGAATAATCAATTCAAAGGTATTGGGTCACTCACAGACACAGAGCCACATAGAGCTGGCTCTGGCTTCAATGGCAGGTGAATAAAAAGCTTATTCCAGCTTTCTCAACCAGGATAACTCCTTTCTGGTCCTTCAAATTATTTTCAGGATATCCAATATGTTAAAACATATAAACTTTACTGAATATAAAGTAACATACAAATTAAAATAAATTAAAATACTATATAGTGAAAAAGTCCACAACACTAACGCGTTTCGACCTCCAGGTCTTTGTCAAAGTGTGTGGTCCATGGTGATCTTCCTCTCTTTAAATACCCTGAGTGTTCAATTTACCGCCGTTTGCCGGCGTCGATCATTTCACGCACTTCCGCGTCGCGTGACTTTCAGTCCGATCACGTGACTCTGACGCCATGTATACCGGTATCACTTCCGGGTTTTCGGTCATCTTAATCAGCCGGTTTACAAGTGCTGATGTCACTTCCAGGCTCTCAGTGTCCCTACACATTAATATCAGAAGCACTGCCGCCATATTTAAAATGGGAAAAAAACATTTTTATATACAATCGCACTTATAATGTGGCAATCATAAAATAATATAATATAATACATTAGTACATATATTATCAAATGTAATATATTCATTAGTAAAAGAGACATTTACCCAAAAATAATTGCCCTAAACTATATGCTGTTTTTCAGACATCTATAATATGAGGAAGAGAGTATTCTTAAAATGAGAACTATTTATACCAAAACATAAATAGATAGTTAGTTTATTTAACTGAGAAATGACATTATAGATGTAAATCTGTCATCCTAAAGGTGTGTCGTCCCTCACTGGGTCACTGATTTTGAGTTCCGTAGGATATACTTCCAGGCGACACACTAACCACACCCATAGGTACCACAGGGAGGATTTCGACCTAACCAGATGAGTGATGGATTTGGTTTTGGCTGGAAATGGCTTGGGACTAAAAAATGGCTATGTGCAGTTATGGCTACTTGTGGGCCCAAGACCTTCTTTAGGTGAGTATCGTTGAGTAAAATAGGTCAAAACTGTTGCACTGACCTTCTAACCTCATTAAATCCTGAGTCAAATGTCGCTATCATTCGGATAGTTTTATTCGTCACGATATCCTCCTTGGGGGGGTCTGCCAGAAGGTCATCTCTGTCGGCTTCCAGGCCTAGTCCTGGAAGTCGTTGATGCTACTACAATTCCTCCATACCCTCAGATACTGTCCAACTGATATACCCTGTTTCAAGGGTCTCGGATGGAAGCTATCCTATTTTCAGAGGTCATTGGAGGCTGATGGCTTCCTATACAGGGACGTCTGGACAGAACCGTCCCCAGATATGTAGATAGTTAGGC